AAGAAAACATTACCAAAATCAAGGATCTTGTAATCTGACTGAGTAATCACTGATTAAATATTACAGACATTGTAGACATCATTGAAAATATCATTGGATCAATTCAATCAATTTTGAAGAACAATTTAGGCATCATGATAACGCACCATCGCACATTGCAATAATTATTCGTCAATTTTTCGCTAAAAATCAAACAAATACCGTTCTACAAGCATCATATTCATCAGGTATCATGTGACTTTTTTCTGTTCCCTCGATTGAAAAAAATCACTTGATGAACGCCGTTTTAAGTCCATAGAAGCCATTCAAAAGAATTCGCTGGCCGCTTTGAAGGAAATACCAGAAGTCGAGTATAAAAATTGTTTCGAAGACTGGAAAGAACATTAGAATAAGTGTATTGCAGTGGGAAGAGATTACTTTGAAGAAGACAAAATACAGAGTTCTTCATACCAGAAATGTATAACGCGACCTCCAGATTTTGCGGTAAAACCGAGTTTGAAAAGTGTTAAGTCATCAGAATTGATCATTAAACAACTTGTGTCAGTGAATTAATGGATCTTGGTGCAAATTCTTAATGTCAATTCCTAATATTCAAAAAACATTATCTGACAGATTTATATATTATAATGAGTGAGGATACATTTTTCGTCACAATCCATGACTACAAGGACCTCACTGCCAGAGTCTTTTCGTAGTTCAAAAGTAAAATGTGAATTGAGGTACATGCGCCTCTTTATTAATTGCATGGATAAGATCCTCTTTATTTTCTTAATAAAAAAGCCTATCCATATTTATGATTCTCTCATTTATCATTCTTCTCATCATTTTCTTAATCCATTCTCCAAATCGAGTTATTTAAGCTTATTATCGCTTGAACATACAAACATTTTCTCACGTAAGAACCGCCGGCTACATTCTGATGGACGAATAATGAGTGTGATTGTAAGAGCACGATATCCTGCAAAACATCGATGTAGCATCGTATATTTTTATGCGTGAAATATCGCCACATTCGCTCTTTCAACGTTCTGTTGAAGCGTTCAACGACTGCGGTTTTATTGTCCGGATTGCAAGTTACCCAATAAGGAATGTCTCTTTCTTTCAGAAAATTTGACATCGATGGCGCGATAAACTCTCTGTCTTTGTTCGTTAGCAAGTACACGGGCATTCGTCCATCGTTTCTCGAAAGTATGTTTTGACAAGCTCTTGTCACGCAATTACTCGTTTTCTCCCGCAACGGTTCTACCCATGCGAATTTACTAAGTTGATAATCACTAGTAGATAAGAAAATCTCTCGTTGTAACTTTTGAGATTACGAAGTTTGATCAAATCACTCTCCTACAGATCGTCGATATTCGTCACATTGTAACGTAATCGTGGAAATTTTCGCTTCGACGAACTGGTGTAGCGTATACGTATCTTGCGATTCGAACCAAAGAGCTACTTCTTTACGCAAGAAGTTTAGCGGCACGCGACAGATTATCTGTTGCCGAATACCCAGATCGTATACAAATTTTCAAACTTTGTCATTTCAACTCGCTCCAGTCGAGTAAACGTTTCTTTGTCGCCAGTGGAAAATCTTTCATGAAGATTAGGAGCACTAGTTTGACGAAAACATAGCGAAAAAAACAGCGCATAATTCGTTTGCTTTGTTTTACGGATTTTGCCTTTATTTTCCCTTTCCGACCGACCCTTGTTGAAAGTTTTCTTGGTATTTTCGGCATGGAACTCGTTCGTAGTGATAATGTTTGGATAAATGTAGTTGATAACAATTCCGCATTTCCTACGAGTATAGCCGGGGTCGGGCGCAGTAATCGCATCTCTTCTTATTGCTTTCACGGTTTTTCTTTCATACATCACATAGTTTATCAATTCTGTGATATTCAAAACTTTTATGACATTATCATTGATAGTCATGACTCCCTCTTCGTTCTAACTAATTCTTGAGAGTACTGCTTCTGTAATAAAATATTTCAAAAGTAAACGCGCCGTGGCACGAAAACTTTCCACATTTTTTCTAATATTTTTTCGATACTTCTCCGTTCACGACTACGCAGAGAGTGCTGTAGTGCTACATTATTCGCGTCGTCAAGGAGTGAAATTTTGCTTGGTGATCGCGTGCCGATTCCGCAATGCTCCCCTCTCTCTTATTGACATTGTTTTCATATGCCAAATATTCTTCTTGCGATCTTCCAACAAAATGGAAATATCGCCAAAGTACTTCTTTATACTTTCCTTTTATACTTTCCATTTCTCACTTATGTCATGCGGAATGATGGAATTAAGAACCCTATTCATATCCGAATCGAGTCGTGATAAAATCTTTCCGGATATTTGCATGGAATTTGAGTTTTTGTTTCCCTCAAAAATCCATTGCGTGGACTTTTCTATCGTACCGATTATTAATTGTTGGGTCGGATGCTGCTGATGATGCTGGTGAAGATACTGTTGCATTCTTTCGAGATTTTCTGTGGAAATTAAAACCATCTTTTTTGCTCTTTCTATAACTTTTTCTCGCTATTCGCCAATAATTTTCGAAAATAGAGCAGCGAATATAGGTCCGATGAGGTACTGCAAGAAGCCACTTTTCTACACCAATAGTTTTTTCTTACTTTTCTAATTCTCTTGTTTTGCTGATGTTTGAGACAAAGTCGTTTTATATTTGCTTAGTCGATTTTTTCAGCACGTTCGAGCGATATGTTACCCTTAAGAGATTTGAAAGCATACTCATGGATGCAACGAATGAATTTATCATTTACGGATCATAAAAAAGAAGCACGCTGATTTTTATTCAAATGACGCAGCGCTTCGAGACAGATATTTCTTTTTACCGATCGAACGTTTCAACGATTTTTCTCACGGGTGATTTTGCTGTCGACGATGTCGTCGTTCCTTTTTTCATTGCGTGGAAATTGCGTGCATGCGATTGATCGGCACAAATAAGGATAAAACGCTTTTATATGCTACCTCTAATCTACGCGGTATATAAATGTAATGCGTCGTATCCCCGAGAAATATGCATGTTTGAAACCTGAATTCGTCTGGTCGATTGTTTTAAATCTAGCAATAAATATTTGTGGAGTTGATACGTGGCAATACTTCATCGAGAAACTTTGGATTATCGGGATAGACTTGCCGCGCGAGATGTCGAATTTGCGCGCGATCCCGCGGCTTTTTGAAAACCACAAAGGAATTCGCATTCAAAGATATATCATGCTGTCTGTGTTCCTGGTGAAAGAGATTTTGCGAGATGAGAATCACAAATAAGAAGGGAGAGTGCACGATCATGAATCAGTCGTGAAAATTCGTAATTATTATTTTTGTAAAAATATCAAGAATCGAACCTGGAACTTCTACTAACTAGGTAGGCATCATATCTTATTTCGACCACAGATGATATTTATCGTAATAACGTGTTTAGAACAACACGTTAAACAATCCAGTGCCATATACATATATGCATATATTATAATATACATACGTACATGTATATTATCGAATCCTCACGACCTCCAGAGTGATGTTGGCCTTTCACTCGATAGACGCTGAGATTCTTATGATGACTTCCTTTGATAAACAGATTCATGATCGCTTTGCTCAACGATGATTCCCACATAAGATCATCGATTATCAAGAGACACGGGTAATGTCTCGACGCCAAGTTCACGCGCAGCGAAATTCGCGTAGAATGGCGGCGAGATGACCGTGGTTCTATTTACGTGAGACCCCGGGATGAACTCAGTTTACATTTTCATATCTCAGCAATGACTGCATTGATTAAGTTTTAATTACGTTTAATCGATAGCTGAGTATCAAATTATATAAGAAAAGTGTTTTTATTTTTTTCTCCGTGTTCTACAAACAGACATCGCGACGCAATCGTGACGCAAAGTTCAAATTGGTAAATTTAAGACGTCTTGGTCGTCGTCGTGACTCTCCTTTTCTGTCGCAAGAGGCGCTAATGAATGTCTCTGTATGACAGCTTTTGCAGAGTTCATTTTTTTTATTTGATATGTCTTTGACAGATGTCCTTCATGTGAAGTTGTATTGATTAATAAAAAAAGATATAACATGTGTCATATATAATAGTAAGTAATATTGTAATAATATTATACATACGCGCGCTCATTCGTCACCTTTAATCTGAGCCATTATAAAAACTAATTATCGAACCCAATTTTGCTAAAGAGAGAAGTTGTTTCTTTAGCATGAAGAATCATGTAGTGTACTCCAAATGCGTAATCTTGGGACACCTTGTACATTACCAGATGAAAGTGAGCTAGCATGTATACAAGACGAGCTATTGTATACATGTGAACGAAATTTTCCTACCTATTATATAAATATGAATGCACCATGCGAGGTATAAATCTATATAAACGCGCCGGGACAACTCAGAAATTGCGAACATCAATACATAATGTCGAATACATCCTTGTGGATAATATTAACAGAACCATAGGCGTGGTTATATTCGATAATAACGAATTAAAAAATAAATATCCAGTGTGATAAATCATTGGAGCAATAACTAGAGTTTAAGCGGCACAGGGAAAATAAAAATAAACGGAAAATGTAAGCTAACACCGGAAGTAACGTTAGTCACGCAGCGGCAACCGTCGAGCTACATACAGGCTCAACTACCAGATTTTAGTTTAACACTAACGACGCGTGATAACGGAAATAATCAATTAATAAAAAAACCAAGTTACAGCCTGTTGGATCCTTCATGAGTATGAAGAAAATAGGAAAAGTTAATACGAAGCCTTATAAAACCTTTATTTCCTTGTCTCTTTGTTACTACTACAAAACGTGATCCTGCACGACGCTGTTTCTCGTCTCTAGCCCAGAATGATACTGATTCGCTCCCCCCCCCCCTCCCAGTCTCCTGGTGGTGCTCTTCGGTCCTTAAGTGTCCCCAACATCTCCCTCCTTGAAGATGTTCATCCTATGAATATGTTTTTGCTTTTGGATCCAGCATTAACCTGCGCGGTGGTGTTCTAGTACGAGTACGTCTTGAAATCGTCTGCTGGGGGAGCCTGCGCTGGAGCAGAATCCGACGATCGATCTTCAGGTGGTATGTGATCTTCCGATGAAGAAACTCCCTTTTGTGTTTTATCTAATGCAAGATCTGGTTGAGTTGGAGCCGCTTTTGATTCTAGGAATATCCAATTATCATCTACTTTGATTTTGAGTTTCGACGGGATGTTTCCTCCCTTCCACACATGGTTGAAATGACATTCTATAGTCTTTCCGTTGTCAAGACTGATTTTGCAGCGAGAATCCAATATAATTTCGGAAACCGTGCTTTGGGCGCGTTTACCTTTGTTTAGGAGCTATTATCCGGTCTGATGGGTTTAGACAGCGTACTCTTGCTTCATGACGTTTTTGAAACTGATATTTCATTTTCTTTTGTTTTTGTAATAAATCTGAAGTAGGCACTTTTTTTGATCTTGGAAATAACTTGCTGAATGGTGTGATTATCCTGCGTCCAAAGAATAATTCTGCAGGAGATTTTCCGTCTGAGTCGAATCACATGGTGTATATCGGTAACTATATAGAAAGTCTTGTTTCCTCCAATTTGTCCTCCAGGATCTTTGGCTATTGCCCTTTTTACGCTGTCTACCATGCGTTCTGCTTGTCCATTTGACTGTGGATGGTTTACAGGCGAAAGTAAGTGCGTTATTTGGAATTCCTTACAAAGGTTTGCAAAGTTGTCCGCTGTAAATTGAGTTCCATGATCACTGACAAGTATTTCTAGAGGGCCATACCTTGAAAAAAACTTCGCGACATAAATACACTGTTCATTGGCTTGTAATCGTATTGGTGATGGCCGCATTCAGAAATTTTGAGAAAGCATCTACAAAAATAAGGATGTAAAGTCCGTCAAAAGGTTTCGCATAGTCGATATGCATTCGTTCTAGTGGCTTCGTAGGGATTGGCCAAGGATTCAAGGGAATTTTAACGGGGAATTTATGCGTGAGAACACACGCACTGCAAAGACATACTACGCGTTCTAAGTCTTCCGTGATACCCGGCCAGTATACATATTTTCGAGTTAATTCTTCTAATGCCAGGATGCCTTTGTACAATGAAGCTAGGATTTCTTTCCTCATTGATTCTGGAATAACAATTCTCTCTTCTAGAAGGAGTGTACCGTCAACGACGCTTATGTTATCGCGACGCTTAAAATAATGTTGTAGTTCTTGAGATTTCATTTTCCCAATTGTTTGCGATTCTCTTGCTTATGACAGAATCTTTCCGAGATTCCTCTTTCAATAGCTCACGGAGATTGTTCCCAAATCTATCGATTGCGACATTACGAATTTTATAAATTTCGTTTTTAACTGTTTGAACACTAGCTACCTGTACTTCTTCTGCATTATCCTCCCAGAATTTTTTGATAAATCGTGATAGAGCGTCTGCTTGTCCGAAATCCTGAGTGTTCACGTGTTGTATGAGTGTTCACGTACGAAGTTGTACCTGAGCAGTCTGATTGCCCAGCGCTTGAGTCTAGCTGCTGTAGTGGGTTTTAAGCCTTTGATGTTATCTGTACGAAGAAGAGCTAATAACGGTTTGATCCATAAGGAGAATAAACTTTCGTCCCCACAAGAATTTATGAAGCCGTTCTACCGTTGTCATTAGAGCCATGACTTCTTTTTCTAGTTGTGAATAATTTTGCTGCGCATCAGTAAGACTTTGAGACATGTGATATACTGTTTGCTCACGACCATCGATGTCTCTTTGTAAAAATACTCCGCCAATTCCTGTAGATGAAGCGTCTGCCGCAACAATCTTTCTCGGGTCATAGTGTTCTAAAAGCAGTGGACTGAGCATGATTTGTTTTATCTGTTGTAGAGCTGCTTCTTGTTCCTTGTTCCATGACAGGTATGATTTTTTTTGTTAATGCTTCCAAAAGTTATTTGACTTGGTGCAGATGGGGAATAAATTTTCTGTAATGGTTGATCATTCCTAATAAACTTTGTACTTGAGTAACGGATGTGGGCTTTGGCATCTCTACGATGGCTTTAATAGCTGCCGGATCTGCCGCAATACTATTAGCGTTTATGATTATCCCAAGATATTTTATTTCTTCTAAGGCGAACTTGCACTTTTCTGATCTTAATTTCCAACCTCTTTCTTCTAGGCGTTGTAGAATTTTAAATAAGTTCGTGTCATGCTCCTTCCGAGAGCTCCTGCTACAATTATATCATCTATATATGCATGATATATGCATGAGTTCCGTCCAAATCCGTTAACGTTTTTTCTATCGTTTGTTGCCGGTGCTGTTTTGATTCCAAAAGATAGCCGTTTGTATCTGAATAAACCCTTTGTTGTTGTGATTGTTGTGATTTCCCGATGCTCTTCAGCTACTTCGATCTGTAAGAAAACTTCACTTACATCAAGAAGACTAAAGTATCGTTTACCATTGAGCTTTGTGAGAATATTCTCGACACTTGGAAGAGGATGACAGTTATTTCTCAACGAACGATTTATCCCTGTGGAAAAATCGTACTGCGCACAATTATTTTTCCATTTGGTTTTTTTACTGTTACCACGGGGCTGCTCCAATTTGAGAATTGTACCTGTTCTATTATGTCTAAAGGCGCTTCAATTCTTCTTCCAACAAGGTTTCCATTGCATATAGGTCATGGCACTTGTACTGGATGGGCATCTTCTACAAGAAAGAACTTAGATTTGAACCCTTCACATTTACCTACGCCAGGTGCGAAAAGTTTCGGGAATTTTTTTAGTATACTTTTGTCCGTTGAACTGTTTGTTTTTATAGACATAAGTTCTTCCTTGAGTTTTTTGTGTTGTAAGTTTTGTACTTTCGAATTACGATATTCCGATAAAAGTACGGACCAAAGGCCTAACTCTTCGATCGCATTTAATCCGAAAAGATTAACCTCTTCACTGTCTATAACTATGACGTCGTTTTCCCCGTTCGGTTGAGGACACGAATTTTAGTATACGAAATTTGCCGATTGTTTTTAATCTTTTATCACCTGCCATTATAGTGTTGCAGGAAGACAAATATGGACGCCCCAGACGAATCCATTCGTCCCTACCGATCGTGGTGATATCTGATTCCGAGTATTGTAAACGTGATCTATCGAGAATCGATACCGACACGTAAACTCAATGGCTTATTCCGATTGACCGTTATCGACCGTACAGCCAGACTTCCGTTTTTCGCGATACTTTTTCTTGTCTTCATTGAATTTTTGTTCAAGATGTCACTCGAGCGACATACTTTTGCCATATGACCTTTTTTCGAGCATAGATTACACGTAGCGTTACGAAAGATACAATATGAGCCAAAATGTGGACCACCATAACCGTTACACTTAGCACTCGCCATGTCCTGATTCTTCGCAGGATTTTTGAATTTTGATTTTCTATGCGCGTCGTTCGGGTTTTTTGATTTGTGTTTTGGCGTTTACTATAGGTGGCGTTGTTTTCACGGGATTTTCAAGAGTCTTCATATCATTGACCACATTGAGATGGGCTTCTAATTCCGCGGTGATCTCTTTTAACGTAGCATCCTTGTTTTTTTCCACGATTCTTAAAGCAATTTTTTTCAGTTCGTTATTTTCTTGAGAAAAGCAGAATAATTATAAAAGTAAAAAAATTCGCAGACCGTCGTCTGTGAGATTTGCTTGATCGAAATCAGATGCATGCCGATTCGATCAATATGTTCCGTAATAGGAATCGATTTGCAATATTGAAAATTTATTTCGATCCGATGTCGTGTAATAGAAGTTTTGTTTCTAAAAATATTTTTCAGATGCTTTATTAAATCTTTTTGAAGGATTTTCGCTGGTTCTATGGGAGCGACATGGTCAGATAACCTCTCATATTCAGTTTGTCTAGAATGAGGCGGGTTCGCATCTCTTCTGACAGTGATGCTGTTTCTTCTATGAGCGTATATTCGTGTCGTTGTAGCCATTTTGCGAATGGTGTAGTTTCGTACGGCTCCTCAGAGTATTTTTCTATGCATGCACTTAACTGGTTGTACACATCGAACGTGATTGTTTTTTTGTTGTACTACTTAATTTGTTTGTACTTCTTGTGCATTGTTTATTTGAAATTGTAGGAGGTTGTTTATGGCAGCAGTGAGCGCCTTGAGTTGCCTTTATTCCTGCCGAATTCGCCATGTTTTCAGTGTCTTTATTTCCTTGATTTTCTGCAAACTTTTATCCGCAGCGCTAGTTATTGGATCTTTCGTGAGTATGAAGAAAATAGAAGTTAATGCAAAGCACTTTTTATTTCCTTGTCTCTTTGTCACTACTACAAAACATAGTTCTGCACGTCACTGTTCCTCGTCTCTAGCCCAGAACGATACTGACTCGCTCCCCCCCCAGCCTCCTGGTGCTCTTCGGTTCTTAAGAGTTCCCAATACAGTCTATAATTAAAAACCTACAAGAACTCGCTAGATTAAGTATAGTAGAAGATGACTTAAATAAACAACTAGGCGAAAATATGATCATATTCCGAAACAGCCACTTTGTATAACCAATTAGTTTTAGCGAATTAACAATAATTATATCCTAATAGTTACAGCTATCATAATTGTAAAAAGAAGACAAAATTGTAACGAAAAACCAACTTATATCAAAAATCTGCGACGAAGCAATGATGTATTAAGAAATAAAAGAATAAATGTAAAAATAAATGTAATGACCCAAACAGAATTTACTATAACTAACTATAAGACTAGGATAAGCATTAATACTTTATTTTTCATCAGCGTTTCAGTTATACTTTTATATAATTGTAATATTAGGTATCAGAGCTAGTTTAAAAGAAAACTCCCATCTTCGTTTTCTTTTTCCAAGGGGGGAGGGATGTTGCGAATTTCCGCATTTTGCGCAATTTCCGACATTTCGTAAAATCAATATTGCCATCATACTGCTGACCCACCAATTCCAAAGGATTCTAGTTAACTTGATATTTGTAAAATTTAATATTAAAATAAGATAAATAAAAGAACAATGCGTGCCCTTGCCGATTGCAACGAATCTATGTGCAATCCGACAAGAATACTGACACTGATAACACTGTGTTGAAATGCTGATGAGCCAATAAAAATAATGTTTCGACACGAGAACATGCCGAAGCCGCGTAACTGCGTGAACGAGCACGCGAACTGATAAAAGGAAAGCAAGGGTTGATAAGGATGCTCTGTTCTATTCTATCTGCTGGTAAGTTCTGTCCGCAAGTCCGTCATACAATTAAAGTCTAAACGATTGAAGTCGAGGTCTAAACCAAATTGTAAAACAAGTCACGATTAATTATTCTTTTTGAATAAACGATTTATTTAGTGAAAAGTGAACAGTGTTCTTCTACAATCCTGCTCTATATTGGCTTTCTCCGGTACTTCCGAGCGAGACACCTTCCCGCTGGGATCAGAATTCCCCTCGTGCCTAAGTGGCACAACACTATCAACATTTTTAGAATCCATTACACTTATTCATCTATTATCCTTATTTTTCTATTTTTTTCCTTACTACTGCCATTATTTTTTTCACCTTTATATTTTTCTTCTCCTCTACCACGATTTTCTCTTATTTCTTTTATTTCTTTCCATTCCACTCCGCTTCTAATAACTTTAAAATATTTATTTATGCAAAGAATTAATTCCGTAATGTCCAGACTTCTTCAATAAAAATAAAGAAATAAGAAGAAGCATAATAGCCAAGCTGGTTTATATTGCTGACTGATTTATTGATTAAAAATCATCCAAACGTTTCGACCTCAACAGATCATCGTCAGTGATCTGTGAATACAATGATAACGACAATTATCATTGTATTGTGTACGATAGAACAAAAGTAATGAAATTAATTCCGTACGCATTGAAATATGATGGATAGTTGAAAATTCTCAATCAGTTTTCACTTACAAAATATAGAACGCAAAATTATACAGAAGATATTATCTATATAGAGATGAATCTTAACAATTTATTGTAGTTGTGGAGACTATGTATAACAATAACGAATAGTTGTCGTCTCGTGAAACCCCTCACGAGTGTAAGATGCAGTAGAGTAATGTGTCTAATGAAAATAGTAATATGTGATAAGTTCAACGAAAATCAAATCCACCTGGAGTTAATTTAAAAATAAATTAAAAGGTAAAAAACTATGCCATTAGTTAAAATTGTCATTAGTTAAAGAAATTGAACTTGTAACGATATAAAGTGTCAAAAACAAAGGAACAAACAAGAACTTGAAAATAAATACATAAATAAATACATAAATACACAAATACATAAATAAAGAATAGCCAATCAAATTTGTTAATGATAATTAATGACATGGAAGAAATTGTTAAAATTACAAAAATGATTTTTTAAAACCTTGGTCTCATGGTAAATCCGCCAAGTGACTTATTAAAATCTTATGACAGCTCTATGTGCCTCTGATACATGCTAGTAGTTCCGTTGAACAAATAATACACCAATAAACCAATACACCAATACTGTGTTTAGAATAATACGTCACAATACAATGATACACACACACACACACACACACACACACACACACACACACACACACATATATATATATATATATATCACAATGATATACATATATACATCCTGGTGATAATGTGTAATATCACCAGGCAGCGACATGTAGAGATCACCTTATCATTACGGCGGCAGCGAGATGTTGCCGCCATAATGATAAGGTAAGTTCAGTTTGTATGTGTTACTATTATTTTTGTTTGTATGTTGTATTTTATGTGTATCCCCTTTCTCATTCTCTTATTTGTTTTTCTTACCTTGGAGATTTCGCGACTTAGCTTCCCACAAACGGTTTTAAACGGTTTGCGTGTAATCGGAACGTCTTGCGACCTCTTTTTACCATATAATTTGTATCGTTATGTTTTTCAGTTATTACGTATTCTATTCATTGCGCTTCCAACTTTTTTGTACGTCCTCTTCTAACCGTTTCATCATACAGTAAGACCTGATCACCTAATTTAAATGTTTTCATTTTTGCAGTTCGATAACTGCAATCACATTCGAGTACTGTTGTGATTTAATCTTTTCTGGTTTTAAGCATTTTCTTGCTACTTGGTTCGTTGCACGGATCTTTTTTCGTAATTCTAGTGCATAATCATCATAAGATTATAGGTTATTTTAGGTGGTTTAATTAGAACTGTCGATAGTTCCACCCGATGCCCATTAATTCAAATAGTGCAAATACTGTCGCAGTGTGGGGGTATATTACACGCAAACATTGCGTAGGGCAACCAATCGTCCCAGTAATGTTTGTTTCCCATTCACATAGTGTCGAAGATAATCTATTAAAATTCTATGCGAATGTTCTAATGCTCCATTGCTTTCGGGATGATAAGCTGTCGTTTGAATTTTGTTGATCCTCAGTAATTTATACGTATTTTTGAATACTTC